TGCCGTCAACATCAAAAGTTCCAACAATATAATGCAGGGTAGCTAACCTTTCAGAGAAATCTGAAATGAAACCATCAAAACCTAAAACTTCTTCGATTTTTTCTTCTTTAATTTTTTGTCCGGGTTTTCTGGTGAGAAATATATTATGAGTACCATAGCTATGCTGATGTGCAAGGCATCTCATCTTGGGCTGGGCCGGGTATGGAGTTGGGCCCAGTTTTGGTCTTGGGTGGTGATGGTGCTGGCTTCTCTTCAGGTGGAGGCTTTGGTGGTCTCGAGTGAACCTGTTTGATTTTCTCTAGAGGCATATCGAACTGCAGTCCATATAAATATCGGTCAAACTATCCGAAAGCAAATTAAATAAATGCAAACTAGGATGAAACAAGACTGTAAAAGGTATTGTGTGGAAACAATGAAGTCATTTTTTTTATTGCATATATTTGTTCTTCATATGTAGCTATAGCGTCCCAAGATTTGTGTCGGTGGTTTGTCATAAAGACACGTCGTGCAAATTTTTTACTCATTAGAAAATAATGCGTCAAGGAAGTGAGAATCAAGTTCGAGGATGCCTAATTATTTATACGCATTTTTTTTTTTTTTTTGGAAATAGAAACAAAGCTTGATGTAATTGATTTATTTGTTTTAATTTCTTGTTTCTAAGAAATTACTAAAACTCTACAACAATAGGTTTCAGCGTTACGCTGGCAACTTCGCATGCTTTGTAATCTTATGCGGCAAAATATTACGCTTTGTAATATGGCAGTTACAACTTTTTTTTATTCATACCAAAGAGATTAGGTTGGATTGCCATAAATACACACATTTAATATATGTAAACTATTGCATATAAATTTTATTTATTATCTTCTTTCTATAATGTGCATATTATCTCACTTTCCAAATTTTCTGTTTTGTCCATATTATTCTCTTACGTGTTTTAAATAAAAATTTTATAAATATAACTAATGATGCATATAAATTAGTTTTCAGAATTCACAATAATATTGTTAACTCACTTAGTTCGCTAAAATTATAAATTGTTATATATTGTTCCTTATTTAGTAATACAATTAAACTAACCTTGTAACCACAGCCAGATACGCAAGCACGAAAGCATTCCTGTT